TGATGCGCAGAACTCAGCTCCTGTTCCATCGAGGTGTGGCCACTCCCCACAGATGTGTCACCCAAGTCGAAGTCCTCCAGTATGCCAGGATCTCTCACACCCTCACCCGTAAAGCAGAGATACAGCCTGTCCTGGCTCACCAGCCCTCTAGTGGCAACTCACAGCTACAGCTCCTAGTCCTGCTCCTCACCAGGCCTCCAGTGGCAAGTCACCACTGTGCAGGTGGAGGGCAGTCAGAGAAGGTTTCTATACTAAGGGTATGACTGCTTTAAACTCCAAGCTAGCACTAACACCGAACAACATTTGTGCAGCTCAGAGTGTAAGGTGTAACGAGGCCCTAAGTCATTTCTCAATGTGTGGGTATGGTTCTTCAGTTCAAAACATAGAGCAGGGGTGTCCAAAGTGTGGCTTGTGTGTCATGTGTGGCTCCCAGGTTGTTTAAATACGGCTTCAGAAGAAAGTCACTTAGCAACAAACTATTGTTTGAGCTGAGGTTCTGTGAGCAGAGCAGGTACCTCGCAAAGGTTTGGTGTCTTGAGTCCCTAAGTTGTGCCAAGATCTTGACTTGTAGGTAGAAGGGTTCAGAAGTTTGCCCTTTCCTGTGCTATACAGGCTGATGCCGTTAGCCCCAGAGGTCCTGTGTTCAGTCCCTGTGAACAAGAACACCCAGGGTGGCCATGACTAAATACTAAATACTTGTGATTCTTACCTGAACTCTTGTAATAGGCCTGCCAATCTCTGCAGCAGGGAGATCTGGCTGCTGCCACTGCCATATACCCTCTGTTTGAAGGACTTCAGTATTTTTGCCAGGGTCTTTGCTGACCTCTGTGTTGTGACAGAGCTGCTGATCTGGAGCTGAGCCCTGGGACTCTCACTCAGTTCAAATCTGCATCAAAATCACTTGGAAGTGTTGATACTCAAAGGCTTTGACAACCCAGCCACTGTAGACTACCGCACAGCAGTGATGCTGCTTAAAGCAGTCTTAGACAATGACACCAAACCTGCAGCCACAAGAGGGCTCTTGGCTCTCACCCTATGGGTACATAGTGTGGAATAGAAGATGATACCTACTGCCTGAAGGCTCTAGAGAGAGAGTAAATTTAAATGAAGGAAGGTCTTTTCAGAACTCCCTCCTCCAGTACTTAAATAAGTTCTTGATACATTCCTTATTTTCCCCTGCCCTTCCAGGGAACAAGCATTAGGGGCAGGTGAAGAAGAGGAGGGATTCTTGCAGCATATCCCTCTCTTTACCTTTGCAGGTGGCCACAGATTTGTTTGAAGCAGCCATATTTCCACTACTTTGCTGGGAGATTTGTTTCCTATGAAGAGATTCATATGAAGCAGGAGACTAGACATGAAGGAACCCAAGTGTGCCCATCACCTGGGTGTCTGGCCCTTTCCTCCTCAACTATTTCTCACTTCAGTTTGCTTTTTGGGATGGCCTAGCCTTGATTTTGTATTTTCTTTTATCTTTTCCATTCTTCCTCCTCCATCTCCTCTATTTCTTCTTTTTTTTTCTTCCTTTTTATAGCCATAATGCACAGTCCTGGCCTGCACCTTCCCTATTGCCTGGGGAGAAAGATTTTTGTACCTGGCAATGAGAACTTGACAATAGTTTCATAGTTTCTAGGGTCAGAAGGGACCTGGGCAGATCATCTAGTCCGACCCCCTGCCATGGCAGGAAAGAGTACTGGGGGTCAAACGACCCCAGCAAGATGGTCATCTAACCTCCTCTTAAAAACCCCCAGGGTGGGAGCCTGCACCACCTCACTTGGAAGCTGGTTCCAGACCCTAGCCGCCCTGACCGTGGAGTAGCGCCTCCTGATGTCCAACTTAAACCTTCCCTCCGCCA